AACACACACCACAAACACCCACAACACACACAACATACACACAGCACACACACACACACAACATACACACAGCACACACAACATACACACAGCACACACACACAGCACACGCACAGCACAACTGGGGGCACAAGCGCACGGGTGGGAGCAGGTCCCCCACGCTCCACTGGTGCCCAGCTCCCATTACCAGCATCACAAGACCTGGCCATCAAGGCTTGTCTCCTTCAAAAGCACTTTAGGAGCCGCTGTGTTTTGGCTTTTAAACTACAGTTCACAGAGGGGGCTTCACCCCCCCCCCAGGACAGCCTGGGTGGGAAAGGAGGAAAGATCCTGCCCTGGGACAAATCCACTGTGTGCAAGCGGGGTGGGGGGCGGTGACAACTTCCACGTCCTTTTTTCTTGCATAAGGACATCTGTCCTCAGCTGCTCCTTTCTCTGCTACCAGTGCACCAGCACAGCAGAGGTAAATAGTTCCTGTTCTGTTCTGCCACTAGAAATTAACTGAATTCTCTCTAGAACATGCCTGTACATTCAAAGAATACCTGCTGCACATCAGTGTCCTTCATACCTTCACTTTGCTGTAAGCTTTCTGCCTTCCTTAGCTAATGTTCTGCCACCAAGTGTTGCACATATCCACACTGCCCAAAACAATTATGGGATGTACCTGTTCAGGCTTCAGAGCTTCTAGCAGCGTTAGGTGGAGGAGGAAAAAAAAAAAACACCAAGGGCTTGGGACTAATGTATGGACAAGCCATGTGATCGGGACCAGGCATCCAGGGCTAACTTTTAATCTGCTTTGTTTCAAGTGGGAAATATGTGAAGATCAAATAAGTTCAAATCCAGGTCAAATATCCTTGAAAATCTTTGATTTATATAAGCAGGAAAATGAGGTTTAAAAGAAGTGATTATGAAAGGGTTACTAAAAACACAGCTGTACGCATACTCTTATATCTGAGGCTCTCCAAAGAAAAACTGTGTGACATCTATATTAACCTTTGGCTGTACACCAATGAAGGCCTGTAGTGAGCTGGAATGCAAGGCAGCCCCTTCCAAATTTTAACACAAGCCAGGTTACAGCTGCAAATGCCTGCAGCCCGTGCTCACTTTATAAAGTATTCCCCGAAGGAAATTTTTTAACTGTTATAGAATCTTTTTCTAATACCCTACAGTGTTAAAGCCTGTTATTAAAGGGCAAAGAGATGGTTCTCTATGCCAAACACTTGTCAACAAAAAGGATAGCCAGATGGTATGAAATAAAAGGAAACTTGGGGGCTCTTCAGCTTCTTGATTTATATTAACAAAAGCCACTTTCAAGTGCTCCTTCCAAGAATGACTAATTCCCGCCCCCCCACACTTCTTTTTTGCCAGGATTAAACAATGTTGTTCATTTTATAATCAACCACGGGACAAATTAACAAATTGCATATCACTTGTGCCGACTCTTTTAAAAATATTCTAAGCAACTCTGTTTACCAAGGCAAGATTACCGGCATAAGGACAACTCAATTATTTTTAGAAGAGAAGGTCTAAGTCATCTAGAGGATGTTTACTCCTTAGTTGCTGTTTATAAACTTGAAATTAAACTTGTGCAAAAAATGCTTTGCATTTTTTCAGTTCCTAAAATGGTTCAGTTTGTAAACTGTACTTGGACAGAAACGAAATTCTAAATACTGAAATTATAGTAATAAATTTTACAAAATTAGCCAGTAATTAACTAACTTAGTCAGACCACTGTGGCTAAATTCTCTTTTAATTTACATGTAACTTCATTCTTGACAAAAATCCATTCCCCATCCATCTTAGCACAGGTGTAAGCTAAGACAAAATGTAGCCTGTGAATTAACTGGTTATAAATCTAAATCTAATTAATTGTCAAGATTTTACAGTAACATTACATGCTTAGTAAAAAGCTCCCTGAAACGGAGCACCTGTATTTTGGTTCCTCCCTACCAATACCCAGTATAAATTCTCTAGAATAAATATACACAGTATCTCCATAGAAATCAATGTATGTGGGGTTTGTCGTTGGCTTTATTTACTATATATCCTAGTAAATCTTGCAATGTAATTTTTTTTTAATATTTTTCCTTCTGAAATTGTAAAACTGGATAAATGAAGAACATGAATAAGGCAAAAAAGTGCTTTTATAAATTAGCATTTGGAAGCCTGGAATTAACATGTTTTATTGAATGAAATTTAAAAGTATTATTTCTTTACTCACTTTTACTTCCTCCATTCTGAAATGAAACTTTATTATACTGTGACACTTCCTCATTGTGATGGCTCTAGTATAGTAATAAAAGCCTACCTGTGAAATGCAATGCTCACAGAGTATCTCTTACAAAAGTAGGACACAGTTTACTACAGTCTGCATTTAGGAATTCAGCTCTGCTTTAAAAGGGATCATTGTAGAAAGTCTCCAAAAAAATTCAGTCCTACAATAGATGTTCTAATTTTCCCTGAATGTCATAGAAAACTGTACGTCTCAAAGCAGGTGTTGTGTTTGACTATATACGGGAGCGAGTGGCTGGTCTAATTCATTAAAACGTCCATAAACAGGCCTGTCTTTGTCCTATAAAGATGAAAGAGCGATGACTATAATGGGATGAAAGGTGTGCACAGGGATGAAGAAAGCTATTATAGATCTATGTCCTTTTTAAACTCGTCCTGGCATGCACTGTTGACAAGGGAACAAAACAGCACAGATAAACCTCCGAAATGTGCCTTGCTGGTAGTAATTCCGCCTGTCCTTAAAACTATTGGATTTTGCCAGCGCTCTAACTACTCACTGACCACGCTGACAGCATCTAAATGAAATGATCGTTTAGTATTTTGCATCAAGAACACTCTTGGGTTTCTAAGCTGACCATAAAACCTGGCAGGTAGAAACGAATTAAATATCCTCTGCAGCCATCCCATCACATCGGGATGTTGACTATTGGTTTCTTACGGCTTATACAGGTGAAACCTGCTCTGTATAGAGTTCTCACATAGACACAGACATATCCAAAATGTAAGTTTTATTTCACAGTTTATGGATCGATTCCACTCCTTTGAACTCAAAATAATTAGTGACCTGAACATTAAGAGTGCACCTCTTCCATGGGCTGACAGGGAGACTTTTCCTTACATTGGAAGCATGGGACGGGAGCGCTGCAGTTTCACTGATGAAAGTTATGCAGCAGATAACTACACCTGCGGAGCAGAGCTGCTTCCCCAGGGCTAAACTCCCTCCCATTAGGTACTTACATGTTTCATAAATGTTCTCTCCTCTCTACCGCTATGGAAAGAGAAGTTTGAATTTTGCTATTGTTATTTCAACATCCTTTGTCTTCTGTTTGAGACTCTCCTTGCACTTGGCTGTACACGGTGTAGGACCCAAGAATCACAGAGAATAGTGTTAGCAAGATCTCTCTTATCTCTAAAGTCAAATATTTGACTGTCATTGGTACTTTTGACTGCTCAAATATTTGATTTTAAATGTATCATTGCTCATCAGCTTAAGGATCCAGCACTGATTAGACAAACATTGTAATTCCAAATGGAAAGCACCAGCTCTCACAGAGCACAGCCCCCGGGCCAGATGTAATTCCAAGCTTCCCACTGTGAAGCTTATGGCAGTTAATAAGGAGGTGCAGCTCATGCAAACTAGAGATCTCCCACAGCGTCCTGTGTCTCCTTATCATGCACGAATTGTGCCGGGATGGCTACCGTGTCTAATAATTATTAACGTGTGTCACAGAGCCCTTACAGCTGCTGATCTTTTCAAGTTGGTTAAAGTGCTGGGATTACGGAGGTGGTGATTTAGATGGTGATTTAATCTTTGTTCCCTCTGAAGTTCCAGACAGTGGAAGTGTCCAGAACAGTGACATCCATAAAGGTGTTAATGGATTTATGGGAGATGGGGGTCTGTAATCCTTAGCAGGTTACGTGCCAGAGGTGGTCTCCTCTTGTGTTTTGTGTCTCCCTTTGTTTGGGACAAAGTTTGAGTGGATCTTGTTTTGGAAATACAATTCAGGTTCTGCCTTGAACTTGCAGGCACCCAGTCTGTACATGTGTGGTTTAAGAGCCGCACATGATGAGGTCTAAAAATGGATAGAGCGAACCAGGTCTATAATTACATATTTAAAATAGAACGCGCACCCTGACAATGTTTTACTCAAATCCGGCCAAGTCAGTCCACACGGGTGTGCAATCTGCAGCGAGCAAATGGAAATCAGATTGGGCCGTGGCATCCAATTAGAGAGGCCTAGCGAGGCGCATACAAAGCGTGCCAATTCTCTATCGTTTGCATAAACCCATCCACATGTGCTTGTGAAAAGAGGCGAGTTAGCGGCATAAACTGGGGTCAACAGGAAAAGCTGCAGGAGTAAATAAGGATTTACTGTGGAATCCCTCCCAAGCCATTAGGAAAACATGTGCGAGCGGCTCAGCCCCTCCGGCCGCGGGAGCGCGGCGCTGGGATGCCGCAGGGAACTATCCGTCCAGGCAGCCCTGGTGGCTCTGCATCCAGCACGAGAGCCAGCCCGGCACCGGGAGCTGTGCAGGGACCCGTGGTCCTGTCTGGGTTTCGTGTATTCCTTGGCAGTGTGGGGTGTGGAACAGACCTGCTAATCGTCCTGTGTAACTCCTACCTGCAAATCCAATTTCTGAAGTGCAGCAACTATCAAAGGGAGACTTAGTGTGTCGGCACGCAGGGTGGAGCGTGGAGAAAGCTTGTGGCTGTCCAACTGCTGTGATGGGGAGTCAGTGCCCTCTCCACGCTGGTGCCATTTAACCACTACCTGGCAAAGGAGGCGCTTTCCCGAGGGCCGCTACCTGTCCTTTGCCCAGGTGGGCTGCCACCCACCTGACCCGCTGGGAAACAGCTCCCAAGCGCGGCCACCTGCACCACCAGCCCTTGTCCTCCCGCTGGTGGCCAGGGCGCCGCTCCAGCCTCCCCCCGGCGCGGTTCCCTGCCCGGTTGCCCCGGACCCAGGTCCGCCGAGCCCGGCACTCACCCAAGTTGACGAAGCTCATGACCATGTCAGCCTCGGTGAGGAAGTTGCTGTCCTGCAGGCTGGCCAGGGGCGGCCCCTGGGTGCTGAAGATGGGCTTGTAGGGGTAGGAGAAGCCCTCGCCGTCCTCGGCGGCGGCCCCCGCCGCCCCCTCCTCCACGGACATGGCATTGTAGAGGTCCAGCATGAACATGGGGGCCGAGTTGTGCTTGCCGTGGAGGTGGGGCCGCGGGCGGTGCGGCAGGCCGAGGATGGAGAGGATCTCCCGCTGCATCTCGCGGCGCTCGGGGCCGCGCAGCCGCCGGTGGATGAAGCTGGAGTGCACCTCGTTGTCCACCGTGAAGTCGGCGAGGACGCAGCGCAGCCAGAGCGCGGGGGCGGCGGCGCCCAGCACCAGCAGCCAGGGGCTGGGCTGCCCGCGCCCCGCCGCCGGCATCGCGGCTCGGCGGGGGCTGCGGGGCGGCGCGGGGGGCGCGGGGCTGCCCCGCCGCGGGACGCGCCCCGCCGGCATGCACGGCACGGCCCGGCACGGCACGGCCCCCGCTCAGCCCCCGCGGAGGCGCCGCTGCCCGCTCATGGCCCGAGGCGGCGGCGGGGGGCTCCTATCGGCCCCGGCCCATGGACCCTTCCCCGGGAGCTCTTCTCTGGCGGCGGGAGCGGCCGCGCTGTGCCCGCGTCCCGCACGGCGCGGCGGAGCCGTGTGAGCGGCGCGGCCCGGCGGGGAGCGGCGGGAGGGTGTCTCTGGTGGGAGGAGCAGGCGCTGGAAAACCCGAGCGCGAGCGCTCGCTCGCTCGCCAGCTCCTAAACCGCCCGGGAGAGAAAAATCCCTGGATCTGCCCCGAGGAGGGACGTCTGCTCAGGTTGCTTTTCAGGATGTTTGTGGAGGCTGCGGGCTCCGGGAGAGGCTGAGCCGGTCCCGAGCGTCTAAATTAGCGTGAACGTCATTAAGGAGAAGACTCCCCAGGAGGGAGGGCGGTTTATGCATAAGGAAGGGGCCCAAACTCCCACAGAGTTTACAGATGCAAGTACATCGTCTGTCTGCACAAACACGCATACACACTCTTTTTCCTCTTCTACTCTTTTTTTTTTTTTTTAAGGAGTACAGATGAGGAGAGACTGTCCGGGACAAAACCAAGAGCACTAAATTATTTAAAACGTGGTCATTATACATTCACGCACGTAGACACGTATGTATGTCTGTGTGCACAGAGCCCCGGGTCACTTTTTCCAGCTGGCAGCGGAGAGAGTTAATGGAGAAGCGTTAGAAATCCGAGGGGTGAGATGAATTGGAACCATCAACCTGTGCATGCGGGTGGTTTATGACACTAGAGTACCCTCCACTCTTGCCTTCCCTTTTTCCTCCTGCTCCCTGGTACACACCTTTGTGGAATACCGTCCTGAGGTGGATTGTCACCTTCTTAAAGCAGTGGCTTTTTTAACTCAGTGTGTGCAACATCTACATTAATGGAGCCTCAGTCTTGATTAGTCCAGCCACATGTCTGCTACAACAGTAAATAATAATAATAATAATAACAACAACAATATCAGATAACAAATGTAGACTATTGCTTCCCAAATCTTACTTGGAAAACAAGGGGAAGGCAGGATAGTTTATTTGGGTCACTGAATCCCCTCCCGAGGTAATTTCAGAAACCATATATATATATATATGTATATATACATACACACTAAGTTTATGCTGACATTAAGATTCATTCCTAAGACAAAGAAGAGGGGCAAGGAATAAGAGTTCAGCAGTTTTTTGGCTTTCTTTTTATAGAAGAGCAATATTCAGTAGTATCCAGCACCAGATCCTGCAACTGTTCTGGAGACTAGTGTTCAGCACTTCTTTTAGCTCTTTATGTTTAAAATCCTTGCGTGAACAGCAGATAACTAGTCAAAAAGCTGCATGGGAAACATGATGAATGGTTTCATGTGTTTGTATACATGCATGTGCACCTCATAATAACAGGGAAACTGAGACATCACATCAAAATGACTCATGGCACTATTGAAATAGTGGTGGAACCAGCATTGAAGTCCTGGCTCAATCCTAACACATGTTTAGGAATGGCTTAAGCTCTGGGAGAATGGTGGGGGGAGAGAGGTTGTGAAGCCATATCCACCTTAGGTAACATGGGAGCACTTGCTCAACTTACTGGTGCCAGTGGGGCTGCTCAAAATATCACCCCTATAGCTGCTGTCCCAGTGCTCCCCACTAATGAAAACACCAGTACCTGAGCAGCTGCATTTTGGCTGCCCAGTTAAGATCAAACTCTCCAGCATCTTTTGTACTTCCTGAGGAGCAGCACTAACCTGCTCTTAACCAGGCAAGTATTTGCCTAAATTTCTTTCTTGCCGAGGGTGTGGTTTCTAGATCAATTTAAGCTGATTTAAAGCCAGGCTCCCCCTGAGAAAAACTTATTTTTCTCATCCCACCCTAGCCTGGACCTTCAGCTGTGCAACCCCACCTCTCTCCAATGCTGGTACCAATACTTACACAGAAGTCAGGAAATTTATTTTGTTTTTAAAGTATTTTTTTAACCATTTATGTATTTGTTTTTGCTGAATTAATTTTCTGCTGGATCAGCTCCTTGTTCTGACTGACTACATATTGTGGTGGAACTAAGGAGGCCACAGGAATGCACAGCTGGGGGCAAGGAGAGGGTGTGTGGGTCAGGCTGCAGTAGGAAGGGCTGACAGATGATTTGGTGTCACTCTGCTCTCCCTTTCAGCTGCAGACAACTTGATTTCTCTTCCTTTTTTGTTCCTTGTAGACTGTTTTTCCAGAACTGTGAGTGTTGGCCTTTCATCAAGCAGCAGTAGGACAAGGAGCCTTGCCTTTGGCATGGACTTTGAGATGAAAAGATCTGTGAGGCTGGAACAGTGGAGTGGAGAGCAGGTGTCTCTGCTGCCTAAATTACTTGCACCTGAATTACTTGTAGCTCCCTTTCAAAAACTGGCTAAACTTCAGGTCAGCGTTATGCTTTGGAATGGCAACATGCTTGGAGAGAAAGAAAAGAAAAAGACAGTATGGGAGTTTTGGCTCCTGACTTGCTAACACTTTAGGTAGCTGCTGTTGGAGCTGTAGGTGTCATTAAAGAAACAGCAGAGGATAAAAAGTAAACCTTGAAACCTCTTGATTTGACAAATTTCTTGAAAAAGTGATGTTTGAATCTGTTTCTTTCTTGTTCTGTCTGTTTAAGTGGTCTGGGTTTGGCCACATTTACCTATATCCTGATTTAATGCAGGATGTGCTCTTTAAAGAGGGACAGTGCTGCAACTGTATCCTGTGCTTTCATAGGAATAACTGGGAAAGTTTTCTCTTTTATACAGTATTTTCGCTGATTGTATTGCACTGGTACAGCATTAAATAAATCCTTGATAGTTTGATAGTTTGAAATGGGGATACTGCTTGCATGTATTCTTAAAACAGCAGAACAAAATCACTCTAGCAGTGTGTGATGAGAAACTGAATTTGTTAAAGAATAAGTTTTTGATGTGAAGTCCTCAGCTCTTGGCTTCAGCTTGATTTGGGATACAACAAAGGGCAGCATTTATTCTGCTGCATACAACAAAGGATGATGCAGCTCAAACTGCAGAGGTTCAGCCCTCACATCTGAGCTTGAATTTCAAATACCTTTCAAACAGAAAGGCAATCCAGTTTGTACCTTTTCTCATGGACAACGTCTCTCTCTTCCCTCCTTTCTTGCCTGCTGTGTAAACCCCATCCTGCTTCCTGTAGGATCAGTTCCACACAGGGTGCTGAAATATTGGCACCTTCATGTCACTGTCTTTTTCCTCCTCCTTCCTGGATCAATTAAGAAACCAGTTTTTCCTCTTACTCTTCTCTGTTTCTTTTGTCTATCCTGCTCTTCTTAAGAAGGAAAACGAAATGCTGGTGATGAAGTAATCCCTGTTTTTTGGCACTTGCTGCTCCAGATAATTTCTATAAAAACAAACTCCCAATGTTTCTGAGGTTCTGCACAAGCCACATTACCAATTGAGTAGCTTTTTGATCTCTTTGAGCTTTGTGTGTACGGTCTTATCTGATTTTTGTACCAACTACTGCCATTTGTGTGAAAGTCGATGTATTTGCAGGCACTTATTTAGGAGATAAATAAAGGGTCTGATTTAAAACCATGAAATGGACAAAACTGTGCAGGTCTGTATCAGGTGAATTTGTATACGCTGCTGTCATCATCCTGTGCCCATCCAAGGCATGTGCCAGTGGCAGAATTTGGCCATTTGCATTTACTTTTACCAAATGGGCAGTAAAAAGTGTGGGTTCTGCTCACAGACTCATTTAATGACTTTTCAAAAATCAGACACAAAGCATTTTTTCCTCTTTTCTGTGGAATCAGTGTCGGGTTCCTTGTCTTCCTACTTTGATGTCCTCTTTTTAACTTTAACCATGTTTCTTTTCCATTCTGTTTTGCATCTTCTCTCATTTGTCTTGAACAAAGTGCAAGTCCTAAATTATAGCAAACTTTTTTTCTCCTTCCAAATAGTCCCACTAAAATAGCATGTGTTTGGGGAATTTTGAACTGTTTCACTGTACCCTGAGCATGAAAAACACTTACATAGCAAAAATAATACCATTATTATTTGTATAAGAATGGATAATTAGCTTGTATGTTTAATTATGCTATATTGGATCCTTCTTATCAAAAGTTTCTATTCATCCCTTCAGCATTATTACTGAGAACGTATTCACCAACAAGAAATTAATCTCATTATGGGTAAGGCATTATATTAGCTCTAATCCAGGAATCTGAACAGATCTGGGTTGAACAGTGCCGGGTTGGACAATACTGACTATGTTATAAAAATTAAGTATTGATTCTCATTGCTGTTGATCAGAGGAGAGTCAGAAATTAAATCTGTGGTTTAGGGTTTGAAAAAGGTATTATTTCTTCTGGAGATGCTAGCAATAGCTAAAATAGAAAATGATCTTTGGATTTATGAAATGGGACTGTAGCACTGAATTTAATGGTTGTCAACTGAGTAAGGTGGACAAAGTTCAGTCCTTCACAGTTCAGCATTTCAAAGGACTTCATAAAACTGGATCTCCACAAAACTGGATCTCCACAGGGATTCTTTTATTACTATTTACTCCAGAGAACATTAGAAATGAGTTTGTGTCATTGAAACATTTGTAGTATTACATTTATCGTACATCTGTTTACAGCTTGAATATAGGCCTATGCTGTATTTTGTATTTTTATTTGTATGTTGGTATGAGCATTTGTAAATGTGCATACACCAGCATACTTCAGTAATGTCTTCAAACTTTATGTAAGTAATATGTTCCTACAGCACAGATACAGCCATATGAGTACTGTTTAACGTGGAATCGAATATTGCCAAAGCAGCCCAAACAAAACTGAATTTAATTTTGTACTATTAAATTATTGCGTGCACACTCGATTTGGTTGACGTTTTTTGGCACAAACCCAAGCATTTCCTTCATTGGTAACATTGTAATCTGAACATCTGAAATCTCAGGCTTATATTTGTGAAAAGCTATGCTGGGCACGCGCTCGAACGTCACTGCTCAGAGCGGACTTAAGCCGTGCTGCAGCACCTTGGAAATGTGCCTCTGAAATTCTGCTTAGTTGTTACATTTGCTTGCAATAAATGGTGATCTTTGCTTCTGCAGTTCACCATCAGACATTCAGGATTCTTCTTATTAACATATGCTTTATGACTTTTTTAGTTTCCTGCTGTTTGCATTCACTAAATGTGGAGAAGTTTGATATTTTTATGCTGTACAAAAAGCATAT